TGTGTGTGTGTGTGTGTTTTTGCTATTAAAAGAGTCAACTATTGTTTGTGTTCATTTATTGCATGTATTGTGGTTGGGTTGTTAACTTTGCTTTTTACTTAAAACTTTAACTTAAAATTTTTAAGTTAAAGTTTTAAGTGTTAAGTTTTTTTTAAAGTGTTGGCCAATTCATGTCCTGCATTCATCAGTTTTCAATTATAATTCAAAGGGCAATGTATTGATTCTAGTGTTTTTTATTCTTATTTAAGTTGAAAGCAAACTCGGTTTTGGACAGAATTTAATTTAATCCTGCTTCCTTACTGTAAACATCAGGCTGATTAACATGGATCCAAACTAAGATTAGTAGTGGCATAATAAGTAACATGAGTTTCAGTCCTCTGTCTTAAAATAACATCCTCTCAAATGTTTAATCCTTTTTTTAAAATGTACTGTTAATACTCTGACCTTTTTATACAGCAACCCCGCCCACCCTCATTGTTCACTACTTTCGTTCTTGTGATCTTCTAATGACACATAATCTTCTGATGCGTCTGAGGATACCAGTGAGCAAAACAAACCACTTTTTTGACAAAAATATCTTTCTCTTTTGTGGACTCAGCTTCTCTTTACTGATGTCACTGTAAAGATTTTTGGCCCTATTTTTTTATTTTAAATTAACTTGTGAATGTCCTTTCAGAAAAACTCCAGTGGTAGACAGCAGTACTGTAGACTTTTACTTGATAAGTAATTTATGGATTAGTGTGAAATAACCGATAAAAATTACAGCTGGTAGCTAAAAGTGAAGCTTTTTTTTTTTTTTGATTGTTTAAATATAATTTTTAGCTGGCATCTCTGGACTTATGTCTGTCTGATATAACATTACTTATCCTTTTATGCTGCCTTTATATGTAGAAAAACAACCTCAGAGCTCCTGAATTTACAGTTACAAAGCATTTGTTGAAGTATGTTGAATTGTGTGTTGTATTTAAATTTTTATCATTTGGTAACATCGTACCCTAACTCTATTGTTTTAACCTGCATACAGAGACTCAGCCAGTGTTTGTCCTGGAGCAGCAGCTGGTCCTGGCTGACCCAGAGTCTCAATCAGTCCTTGATGTGAGCAGCTTGCTGAAGCTCAGCTCTGCTGAAGACCACATGAAGGACGACAGAGTTGGTAAGAGGATGAGTGAGCTCCAGATGTGAATACAGTTGTGTTCTATAATTTAATATAGCAGCAATGATCAGAGAGGTGCTGTTCTGTAAGCATAGTTCCACTGTTAGTTCAAGGGCTACACTCTGAGACCGTTGATCTGATTGACGAGTTAATGTCTGCTGATGGTAAGAGTATCATCATGTGAAATAACAAAAGACAACATTTGGGAAACCATTCAGTCACTGTTATGACTGATAAACAAAGAGCAATATTATTATTATTATTGTTATTAATACATTTTTTACTTGTTGTTTATGTTCCTGGAAATTAGAGGTCAACTAAAACAGCCCATGCTGATGTCTGGTTTTATGAAGAAAAACAAAAGTCTTAATGCTGTCACCTTCATAATGATAGAAAAGTTTATTCCCTGCATGTCCCCAGTAATAAAGCTAAACACAGACAGTGCTAATGTCCAGGTGAACATGTAACTGTGCATAAATAAAGGACGAGGTTGTCACTTTACATCATATAGATGTTATGACAAATCAATAACAAAGTTTTAAAGTGTATAATATTTAGGACTCAAGCAAGGTTGTTGGTATGTTAGTGTAACGTTTCTGTCTGTGGTCTGTTTTACCTTAATTCTCTGGTGTCTACTCTTTCCTCCTACAGATATTGACTACAACTTTAACTTGGACGACGACGAAGGCGCGTGCGACCTGTTTGACCTGCAGATTCTCAATTACTGACAGCCGTCACTGGGCTTCTCTGAACACTCGCACAATCTGAAAGGGTTCCATCGCTTTTATGGTAACCTTCAACACAGCAGTAAACTTAAACTTAAAACCTAAACTTATCTTTATTTGTCATTGTGACACAGCACAGCACACCATGCACAATGAAATTTAACATCTTTAACATCTGCATTTAACCCATCACCAAGTGAACAGTGGGCAGCCATGGTCGGCGCCCGGGGAGCAGTGCTTGATACCTCAGTGCATCTCTGTGGCAACCTGGCAGTTGGTGGATTCGAACCTGGGGCCTTCCGGACCGAAGTCCTTTACCACTAGGCCACCACTGCCTCCCTGCCTCCCACTGGAAGTTGACTAGAAGGGTGGTTTGTCCACACACTACTGTGCTTCAGTCTGTTTAATCAGCCAAGGTTTTGGTTTTCCTTATGTGAAAATGCCAAGAATTTTTTTTTTTCTTTTCTACTGCTAACACTGCCATTTAGGAAGTCTTTGTTCAAACAAAGTTAGTAGATATTTTGATGCTTTTAAAAGCGTTGTTTGATTTGTTGAAAAAAAATTGGTTGACTGCCATAACTGTGAATGAGCTGTTAAGACATTTCTGAAATCATAAAAATTAATAGCCTTTGGCATCATATTTATAATTTCATGTTTTTTTTGTTTTTTTAAAATAAAATGTTTTTGTTGCATGCTTGTTTTTGCATGTGTTTTTTAAAGAATATTTAGTTTTTGCAGCTGTTGTCATTCCAAATGGAATGTAAAATATTTGTTTCTTCCAATTTTTCTTTAACAAGACAAAAAAACCCTTGGTGCAGTCTTCTTTTTCCAGTAAACAAATTACAGGGAAAAACAGATGGTAAACCTCAGACAGATGTTATCTACATTTCAGAGGAAGATAAATTCAGGATGAACCAGCTGGAAAGTGGGTATGAAGAAATGCTAACTAAATGAGTCAGACGTTCAGATGCTCTCATACACTGATTTTTTTTCCTCCCACTTCTAAACAATAAAACACAACAAATGTCTCTTAAATGAAAGCACATCCTCCATCAACTGTTTACAGGCCTAGTGTGTTTAAGTATTGTTGCTGTTCTGAAAGTTCACTACATTAGTAGAAAATGTGATGTGGATTTTGGCAGGATGATGAGGAAATCCAGGGATGAGGTATTGAAAGCAGAAGTGCAGAGGCAGAGCTCAGATGACCTGCAGTCAGACTGGTGGGTGTGTCTTTTCCCATAACTCATGATATTAATTAACTAAATGTTACGGGTCTTGACAGGAACTGACTGCTGTTAATAATCCTCTGCTTTTAGCTGTCTACATCCCTTTTATCAACACTGATGACTGGAGATTTTCAGGAATGTCCCTTTATAAAATTAAATACTCTTTCCTATTTAAACAGGGTTCATACTGTTGACTGTACTACTATACTGTCACTAACCCCTTGTATTTTAAGTATTGTTTTCTTGTGACACAGAGAACTTTTAGAAAGCAGAGTAATTACTTCTGAGTGATTTTTTTTCTCTCAAAGAAAAAGTCTCCCATAAAACTCCCCTACTTTACTAGGTTTTTAGAGAGACGAGAAGTTGCGGTTTGCATTCACAAAATGGTGCTCCAAACCTTTAAATAAAGTAAAAACTTTAAGAATTATTTCTCAGACATAATTGCTTTAAACTGTTAGAACCTCAGGAGCCAATCATGGTCTAAGCTAACACCTTGGGTCAAAAATGTCTCAGCCTAGTCTTGATATTTAATAAAAGTACATGGTATAAATTGACCGTTCTGTGTTAAACTTCAGCCTCTGCCCAATTCCACAAAAATACCTTATTTATATTAAAGTGTTACAAAACCAAACAAAAAATAAACCGCATTTGCATAAACATACAAATACTTATTAAGTAAGACTTCAAAACACTTTACATTGCTTCCCAAAATAACTAATGTAATCACTTTTCTCTCATGTATTTTACTAAGATTGTGAGTGCAGAAATTAGGCATATCTTAATCAAGGTATAACAAAACTCCAAGACAAAAACAAAAAATATTAACGTGAAATTAAAAAAAAAACAATTAGTGTAAATGTCAAACTGTAATATCTAGTGTGAAAAAAAATACAAAAGTCTAACAAGTAAAATGAGTCATACTGAAAATGTGTTTGTTGCTTGAGATTCAGCGTGGGAGTTAAATGACATCTCCATCCCTTCCTCCTCTGCAGAAATGTTCCTCCTCCTCCTCCTCCTCCTCTCTACTCCAAACCTCTTGGCCAGTTTGACCATGTGCTGCTTGAATGAAGAACCCACAAAGGCATAGATGATGGGGTTGAGGCAGCAGTGAGTGAGGGCCAGGCTCTCCGTCACCTGAGTAGCCTTGTCCAACACTTTACTCGTCCCACAGTGGGTGACCAAGGCGTAGACCCGGTCCATCATACGGCAGATCTTCATTACGTTGTAAGGCAGCTGTGTGACCATAAACACAACCACCACAATTAGAAGAACACGCAGAGCTCTCCACTTCTTGCCTCTGCTTTCAACGGGGACAGTCTTTATGACTCGGGCCACGCTCCAGTAACAGACGACCATAACCATGAGCGGGAGCAGGAATCCCAGGAGCACTTCTACTGCCTCCAGGGCAGCTTTGCCTCCTTTGGCCATAGATGAAGGGTAGACAGTCAGGCACATGTTTCTGTCAGCCGCCCACTGCACCTCAGCCAGTATTAAGTCAGGAAGTCCAAGCATCAGAGCTGTTGCCCAGATGGCGAGACATAACTTCCAACAGTGTCTCTTGGTAAACACTCCGTGCAGCTGTCTCCTGCTGTCTCCACCTTGTGCTCTAGCAAAAGCTAAGTGTCGGTCCAGGCTGACACAGGCCAATAGCAGCATGCAGCAGGTGAAGTTAACAGAGTAGCAGGCCGAAACCATCTTACAGAGGACGTGGCCCAGCTCCCAACCTCTCGCGGCGTCAGCTGCCCAGAATGGCAGCGTGATAAGCAACAGCAGGTCAGCCACTGCCAGGTGGGTAAGGAAAGTGTCCATCGGGGTCTTCAGACGCTTTTGGTAGGCATAGACTGCCACAACCAGGGCATTTCCTGCCAGTCCTACCACCAGACACATAGTGTACATGATGGGGAGGAAGAGAGCAGCAAAGGAACGGATGTCATCCTTCTCACACATGGTAGGGTAGTCGTCATAGCTGAGGTTGAAGCTGATGTTTTCATGGTAGTAGTAGTCGTCTTCCTCTGGGACATCCATGACGATGACACTGAAAGAGAGATTTTGTAAATATTCTGAACAGACAACTAAGCTAATTCATCATCTACTTCTTTGGTTAGTAATATGTATTTCAGGAAGGAAATTGAACTACTTGTCATTGTGACACAGTACACAACCAAATGTGACCGTGTGGGGAGGGCAGAGCACCACAGTGCCCCTTTACTCAGTTCTTTTGTTCTTTTTGTTTCAGCTCTTCCCTCCAATAGTCACCACAGCAGATCATCTTCCTCCATCTCACCCTGTTCCCCACTTCCTCTACTGTTATGCCAACCATCCAACATCCACAAATGTCTACTGAGGTTTTCCTCTTCCCTTCTTGCTTGGTAAGTCCATCTCCAACATCATCCTATCTCTCTTCAGCACATGTCCAAACCATGTCAACTTTACCTCTCTAACTTAACGTTAACTGAAAGTTAATACAGCTAAAAAAATTCAATACTGATGAGGTACAGAGAATCTTGAAGTCTGACTTTTCCAGACCAGGAAAAACTAGGTCAACTGGAGTAGTGTCCTCTGCCTTCACTATTACAGTAAGGATTATTTATAATTCTGATTTTTTAATTCTTTTTTTTTAAGGATTATTTATAATTCTGATTTTTTTTAAAAATACCCTCACACTACCCTACTAATTTTACTACAAACTTAGGTACTTAGGCATACATTCATGAGATTGGAGGCTAAAATAGATTTAATATATTTATAAGAACATTCCATTTTAAAACGATGAATACATTGTGTTGATTACCCACTGCAGATGTTCTACTGGAATAACTACAGGCTTCATTCTGCCTGGCCGTGGTTTAAAGGCAGCAGGAGAATAAATAGTTTCCAGAAGGGCAGCGTGTTTAAACACAGTTGTGTTTCACCGCTATTGTGCCTATTGTGTATAAGAAAAAAACAATTCTCCACAGAGCTTTTCAATTAACGTTATGTTGTCCATTGTATTATTACAAAATCCAGATCTATAATCAGTTACAGCCTTTTTATTTTTTCTTAATGTACTTCCCGTGTAAAATACTTTCGTATCAGATCTTTTAAACACAAAGCTTATAAAAAGTAAAACATATATTTAAAATGTACAAAGTTGATCGTGTATAAAAGGGAAAACTACGAACACTGAAAGCACACTGAAAGAACAGCCGTAAAGAGTAACGTCATGCTCACTGGTAAAAGGTGCATTTTTAAACTTCATAACACAAATTACTTTTACATCGAAAACATTGTCACATGGCCTCAAATGGTGACTCTTGTTAAATACCTAAATGTTGTGAGCATTTACATAACATGTCACCCAGCAAGATTGTCTAAGTTATATGAAAGGGCGACCGTAATTAAGTTTACAGCACGTTATTTACACGTCATGTATATTTACAGATTCAGCCTAACAGCGATATAAATGAAAAACATTTTTATGAGTAAAAAGTATGCGTAGATACTTACAGTTCTGTCCCCGTGCAGTATCACTTTGTTCTACTCTTTACTGAGGTTTAAAAAAAAAATCTGACCCCAGATCAGTAGGTGTGGTAGAAATCCAAGAGTCTGAAGTCAATTTCGAAAAACTGGGGAATTGTGACTGAATTAGTGATGTTTTTGTCGCTCAAACATACAGTTCTACTGACACCACGTGGCAGGAAATAGTAATTGAAACTTGGCGAAATCTTTTCAACTTTTATTTGTAATAGAATAGTATGATATATTTAACTGTTTTTTTTTTTTTTTAAACATTCCGGGCATTGCGTTCGTTGTGTTTCATAGCTTTTACCATAGCTTTGTTTTCTGTATTTTGTATTCAGTGTATTTATATTTTTTAATTTCGTAAATATGTCCTTGATAATCCACACTGACACCTCTAGTTTTCCATTGTTTTACTGTTACTGTAAAACATATTGAGTCACTCCGTGGACCTGCCCCTTGCAACACAATCTCGCATAGCGACGAATGACTCTAACTATTTCTCCCACTGGTGGGGCAGGAGGGGCTTTGTCCTGCTTTTCCTTCGGGGACCAAGGACAACAGATGAAAAGTGCCTGTGGCAGGAACAGCCGTACAACCGACCTCTGCTGCGAACTGTGGAAAATCAACAAAACGCCACGACAACGCTGATATTATGGGATTGTTTTTCCAGCTGCTTATAGGCAGTTAATGCAGTTTCAAGGAGCCGGCGGTAGTTTTATCAGCGACTGTACGAAGCACAAAATCAGTGAGTTTCTGTTTCTTCAAATCTTGTTAGGACTAAGTATTAAAATGTCCGTGAAAGATGAAGTTCAAATATTGTAAATTATTAGTAGGGAATTACGCAAATGCAACGACGGTGCGTTATCTCTAATACTACTAGTGTTTCCACCTCTATTATTATTGTTATTGTTGTTAGTACTTTTCAAATCATGTTCAAAAGTGGTCAATTACAGTAAAAGCAACAAAATAAATCAGCTATATATATATATATATATAAAACACAACACGACACAGTCGTTATAACTGTTTCTCTTGAGTAATTTGCATAGATTTCTTTCCACGTGCACATAGATATATCGGCAACATATTTTTCTGCGACTGGTATTTGTCGTTTATCATAGAAAGCGTGCGTGTGGAAATGTCCCCTATCAAAAACATTACTTTATGGGAACGCGTTGTCATAAACCTCAGATTTACGTATGTAAGTGGTTTGTTCGTAGTAAGATTAAAGTGCTTATGTGGACACAGTTCATGCCTGTGATACGGTGGAGAGGATTAGTGTGCAGTCTAGTACAACATCTATGGAAGACAATAAGTACCAAAATTAATAACCAAAGAAAATGAAAATGCAGTAAACCTGGTGGACTACTTTTTAAACGATGCTTACGTTCTTCTTGTTTAAATCTTGTTTTTGTTTCTTTTTTCTTTCTCCCTCTGTCTTCATAACCACTAGGTGACTGTGTGGTCGGGGTCTTGAGTGACAGCTATGGGTCGGTTGGATCTGTCAGGGTTAACAGACGATGAAGCGGAGCACGTTCTGCAGGTGGTGCAGCGGGACATGAAATTACGCAGAGAAGAGGAGAAGCGTCTCAGGTGACAACAGACCTGTTCTTATATGACTGAGTCAACATGCTTACGCTTGAGAGCTTTGACTTGTCCTTTGCATGTAGTGTTAACCAATTTAATATCACAGAATTAGCAGACAACAATTTACCTAAAAGCAACCTTTCACCTTAAATTACCTCTGGACAAATCCCTGAGCTGTAAGTGGTCGGGAATCTACATAATCACTTCCCATGCTGCCTTTCGGTTTTGTCTTCAAAACACTGTACAGGAAGTCACCCACCCTTTCCTGTTATACTCGGGGGTTCTTTAAAACTCCAGGCTTTTAGAGTCCCAGTAAGATGAGTGACGCTGAATCCAAGGCCCACAGGGTGGGTTTAAGTCTGGGC